TCTCGGAAAATTGCCAAGAGATTTTTTATTAATAAATTACATAGCCTATAATACATGATATTTCTACGCTAAATATATATGAAAAATTCTACACTAATTATTATATGGGGTGTGGAAACGGTAGGACTTGGGTTAACATTTCAGGCGGATGAGAGGTAGCTTGTTCTAATGCCTGCATTACAAGACTCTTATTCACGATCATAATATTTCTCAAAGTTAAAAGAATACGTATGAAAGACTTAACTCGCGATATATTACTTGGTGATAGAGGGATTTCTGCATGATCAACATGAAAATATCGTGGTATGCCTACCAAATCCTTTACGAGAGCATTTAAGTGTATAACTGAATCAGCAACTTGAATCCCTATAATGCCAAATTGATTACCAGTTGGCCTACACAAGGCACTGATAAAACTAGCTCTATCCAACGTCTCTCTCCATAACTTCACGTCATCATCATCTTTTTTAGTTTCACTACAAATGATACGTGAAGATTCGGTATAAATTAATTCAAAAATTTTATCATCCTGTTTTATCAATCCCATGACATCAGGCTTCTTTCCCATTCGCTCTTCGATTACTCCTTGATTTCTTCGAGCCTTGCTCGCCAAACTTTGACGCTTAGCCCTATAATATGACAAAAATAAATTATATATGTTTTATATCTCACATGATCTTGTCAGTTTTTTCACTTACGTGCTTAAGCAGATATATCCATTTGGAAGATTCACCAGACTTGCTCGAAGTAATAGAACTACAACATCTGTAACATAGGTCCCTTCGCTTTGTTTACTGAGGGATGTACTTGTAGCTAATGCTCTGAACGGTTTGGTTCGGTCTGGATTATAGGCCAATCCGAAACTGATCTGAAAATTTCGGTTCGGTTCAGCTCGGATTATAAATCCTAAAAATGCCAATCCAAAACCGAACTGAACCGTAAACCAGTAAAAATCTGAACCGAACCGAAAATTTTGGATTAATCCGAAATTTCAGATCATTTGGAACGATGAAATTATCGTTCCA